CCAGTTCTCACAGCCAACAGCAAGATCCAACACGGCCCACAGCACCAGAGCTGGGTGCTTTTTTTTCCAGTTCTTTTTCCAGGTCCACTGAATTTAACCAACACTGACCGGTTCATCAGCAGAACTCATCAACCAGATACCACAGCACATGACTGCACTTTTAAAGCTCAACTTCTACTTCTTTCCTACATAAAACCAACATAACTGAAAAGGCAGAAGAGCACATCGTAGAAGATCAATGCTTCTGCTTCTCTTCTTTATGGACACACACACACATACACACGCCCAAGCTGCTTGATCCACCACTGCTGCGAAGCCATAGTTTCTTCCTCCCAACTTGCATCTGTCCACTGCCGTCCAGTGAAGGCATCCACGCTGCTCTCACTGCTCAACCGCCCCTGACACACTCACACACAGGCAAGCACACAAACACACACACACACACACACTGTACAGAGCTGTAAATAGTGACCATGTGCTTTATTCTGAGTTCATGAAAAGTAGACTGTTCAATCCTTTACTGGTAACGTGGTGTGCTGTGTGTTTATCATGGAAATGTTTGCTGTATCTCTCATACAAACACACACACACATGCACACACAAGTAGGAAGATAGTCTAACCAAACACTCATTTGTGTAAATAATAAGCCAGTGAATCAGAAAGCCATGCTTAGATGAACTGTACCACCAGATCCCCATTCTCTCTTTAGCTTAACATTGTCGTCTAAGACTTGAATTGTAAGCTCAAAAAAAGAAAGAAAAAAAAGTGTGCCCGCGTGTCTTTTCCATACTTGTTAACGTGCGCATACGTTTCAGTTACGAGCCAGTAACCCTGTTGTGAAATGACTGCTTTTGAACTTTGGGAAAACAGAGTCTGAGACAACGGACATACGGAGGCTCAAACCTGTGCCAAAAAACTGAATAATTCAATGAGGGATGCCTGATTCTGCCCTCATTTCCTACTGCCTCCAGATATCTCGAGAAAGGACGGGGAAAAAAGAAACCTCACACGGAATCTTTTCCCTCCGTCTGTCAACGATAAGGGAAAGAGGAGAGACATTTGGAAAAGGGAAGGAGTGGACCGATAGTTGCAACTACACATTTGCCAGGTGCTATGTAAAGCGGTCGAGGATCCGGACTGAGGAGGGACAGAAATGTTTTTGTTACTTTTAATGCTTTTTTTCCTTTTCTTTTTTTTTAAATTCAGGGATTTGTTAAAGAAAAGCAGAGCGGCTTTCCGTGATTACTAAATGTAAATTGTGTCCCGAAGCCAGAAAAACTCCATTCCTGACTGAAAAAGATGTTACATCAAAGTTTGTTTTTATCATAAGCTGACATTGATGCTGTGATACTGTGACCAACTGTAGTATTCTGTTTCTTCCTGTGCTTTTATTTTGGTGACCTCAGATTTAACCTTTTAGCACAGATATTGAATCTTTTATTTTCTTTCTTTCTTTTTCTACCCACAAGCACAAATTCTCTTCAAGGTGACTTTGTGAGATGGAGAAGTAAAACCCACTGCCTGGGTCACTGCCAGTGGCTTTTTCCCCTCCCACTCTGTGTACAGTGTATAAAAAAATCCAAACACAGTAGTCGTGAACCCGCGTGTGTGTGACATCACTGCGACGTGATTGGCCGTTGCTCTATGTCACTGTTACTCTGTGTGAGTAGTGATTAAGTGACTGGCAAAGCAAGCAAAGGCTGGCCTATCTAGCCTGAGTCATTCCTATACTGACGTTGCACACACGTTAACGGACACACACATACACACTTTGTGCTTTACTGACACACACCTTCCATACATACTGCAGTATTCTTTAAAGCCCATCTTTCCCTACTTTTATCCTGTTTACATTCATATCTAGAGCGATAGTAGCAGCACGTCCCCCTCCACCATGCTGATAACCCCGTGCATTATGGGTGATGTAGTAGGTAGTAACCGAATTAAAGAGAAACCCCCAATTCTGTAGTCGACCACCCTGAACTCCCGTACGCTGTTGCACCACCCGATCCTGTACAGCATTTTAATACTGTCTTATTAATCGATGACCACTTCTCGTATTAGCGAGACAATCTTACATGTGTGATTTTACTAGGAAGGAAACGTCCATGTTATGGTAACAATGCTACCTATGGTCTAGTACTTTTACAATGTTTTATTGCACCATGGATGCAAACAGTGTTAAGATCTGTGGGACTAGTCACTGATTAATGGCCTTTCATAATGTTTTTAAACTCTTACAGCACTCTTCATATCACGACATGTCTTCTTCTTTTTTTCTTTTTTTAAGTGTTTCGCTGTCTTGTAAAAATCAGACTTTAAAGATAAAATAATAGCTAGCTGTTTTGTAGGAGAATAAAGGCAAGAGCAGCGTTTTTCCTCTCTTATTAATGGTGAATGACTCTCTGTCTTGCAACTGTTTTAATAAGACTATTACAGTGTCGTCCGCGCACCTGACGCAGTGCTGCGTTTGAAGTTCTGTGCCAGTGCTGTCTGTGATTTCACTGCTCTGGTACAGTATGTCGTGACGGGTGGGAAGAGCCCAGTAAGAGTCAGTAACGAGTGGGCGCTTCTCCGTGTGGTAATTACAGGACTTCAAATGCACGACTGTTCAGATGTGACAGACAAACAATGTTTTCTATGGCTGTTTTTATTTTCTGATGGTTTAACTAAGATATTAATGATATACATGTCAAAACTGTGGTAATGATATCATTCAGCCTGGAATAAATGTTTTAAAAAAATTAATTAAAGCAACTTTAACGTACTGATGAAGACCGTTGCGTCTGTTTTTTTTTTTCTTATTACCCTGTTCCCTGAAGGTTTTACCAGGTTTAACACAGATTTAACAAGGTGCTGCAAACATTGACATGACAACATTACACAGTTGCCGCAAATTTCTCTGCTGCACATCGAGGATGGAAATCTCCTGTTCCACCACATCGTAAAGCTGCTCTACTGGACTGAGACTGCTGACTGCAGAGGCCATTTGAGTGCAGTGAACTTGTCGTTATGTGCGAGAAACCATTTTGAGATCATGTGAGCTTTGTGACGTGGGTTGCTTTCATGTTTTTTTCACACTATATGTCTCAACTTCTTGTTCTTATCTGACAGGAGTGGTGTGGTCTTCTGCCGATGCAGAGATGCTTTTCTGCATACCTGGTTATTTGTTACTGTTGCTATTATCAGCTCAAAGCTTTAGCCATTCTCCTCTGCCCTCTGGCATTAACAAGGCGTTTCCACCCAGAGAAATACCACTCACTGAATATTTTCTCTCTTTAGGACCATTCTTAATAAATCCTGCAGATGGTAGTTTGGGAAAATTCAAGTCGATCATCAGTTTCTGAAATTCTCAAAGCAGTCCATCTGCTACATTCAAAGTCACTTAAATCACCTTTCTTCCCCATCCCAAGTTTGAACAATCTTAGTGCCTTAATGGATTGATTTGCTGTCATTTCCTTGACTGATTAGACGTTCGCACTGACGACCAGCTGAACAAGTTTATCTAATAAAGTGGCGGATGAGCGTCTTTACTGTAAGCTGATATTGCAAATGTTTTAAAAGTGCTGGAATCTCTTCAGTGACACTGAAATATTGGTTTTACAGCCCTTTAATTTGGCAGACTCCATCAATTCATTATTGATGTGATGCTATTTACCAGCATCTTCTCCTGCACCATCAAAATGAATACCACTACAAATCACATCAAGAGGAAAATAAAAGCGACTGGACCGATGTCAATGAACAGAGAGAGCTACTTCCATTAATCTTGACAGTGTAGATATTACAATAATGAGTGCAGCTGATGTGAAGCTTGAATCTATAGAGCTACATTTGCATGGCGAATGATTTGTTTGGTCGCTCTATGACCTCTAGATTATTACAGATTAAGAGCAGCAGTTTTTACTGATGATTAATGAAACCTAGGAGAATAGTATAAGATACATTTAGCCTAGTATATTAATAAACAGCAAGTTTACGCCTCAATAAGAGGACTGCCATGGCCACGTCTCCACCTAGTGGTTGATAGAGCGTTTTCAGACTTGTGCGCAGAAGTAGCAGCAAGCACGATTCATGCAGTCATGAGACTCCAGACGATGCAGATTACTTTGAGCAGGAAGCAGAGACTCTAACAATATCATTGCTACATTTACAAGTTCAGTGTTTTGAGAGAAGTGGCACTGAGAATCTACCATCCATAATAAAATATGCCATGTACAGTTTAGACAAACCAAACAGGCCGCACGTTTAATGCTTTAGACAAAATTCATGAGGACAAAACTTTCGGCTTACTTTTTATTTTGCAATAATGTCTGGATTAAATAAGGGGAATGATTACTTAATAAGCAGCGCAATTTAATTTGTAATTGCGTTGTTTAAAATTTAATCTTGAGAAAGACAAAAGACTCGTGTTTGGATCTCACAGGCTTGATGGTGGAGCAAAAACCTACAGTGTTAGGCGGATAAAAAGACGTCTGACCTTGAAAAGCAGCGCAGTTACACATACAGCCAGCAGGTGTCGCTGTCCACTCAGATGAGTGTGAAAGCCCAAAGTGATTTTTATTCACTGGCTAAGTTTTCCTCATGGTTAACACAGCCTGACATCGGTGGGTTCACAGCGGGAGAGAGGGCCGCACACACACACACACACACACACACACACACACAGCTAATCTTTGGGTTCTGCCTTTATCTCTTGCAGGCCCTTCTGCGTGGCTTGATCAGATAAGAGGACTGTTAGCGTGAATGTGAGGGAAATGTCAGAGGGTTATGAGTGCGGAGGAGAAGTCCCGCCAGACAGAAACCCATAGTCATGAACAAGTAAAAAGGTGAAAGGTCAAAGTGCATTTTTCTTCATAGCTCAAAGACTTCTTCAAACAAACAGATTTCTTTTCATGTAAGAAGTGTGAGTGCATTTGCATGTGCAATTTTTATCACTCCAACTTGTTTGTGATTAGAGAATTCGACAATAAGCAATTGAGTAAAGAGAACAAACAGCTGATTGATAAAACACTTTAATTATAACCATACAGTCCAGATACTGGAGAGAGCCTTTCTGCTTCAGGAGCAACAGTTATCATATATACACATTCACGTGGGGAGGGGCGGGGGTGGACTTTAAATTGCACAAACTTCCTTCAACACACAGAAAGACATCAAGACGACTCAACATGAGTCAGTGCTCAAAAACAAAAACATTTTCGAAGCAGTGCAGTCATGTTCCTTCCATTTGCATCAATAACAACCTTTACAAAGAAGTTTTTGTAAAGGACAGTTTGACATTTTGGGGAATCTGATTGTTTTCTTGGAGAATTAAATGAGAAGACTGACATTACATCATACGACAGAGTAGCCAGGCACAAACAAGAGAAGAAAGTCATTTCCCCAAAATGTCAGACTGCAGTTTGTCATTTGATTAAAAGACTAAAAAGAACAAACAGCAAAAATAAGAGAAAAACGTGAAGTTCTAAAATATATACACCCAAGAATGGGGTTTATATTAAACACTGATGGTAAAAAAAAACTATGGACACGCATTTTTTTTTTCCTTCATGATGGGGAAATACAGTGATATACATTCTCTGCTGTAAAAAAAAAAAAAAAAAAAGTCTCTTGAAAGAAGAGAGGATGCTCAAAGGAAAGCAGGACAGGCTACACTATGCAGCAGTTTAGATCCAAGTGAGGCCAATTCTATAAAAGTCCTAATGGAGCGGCGCTACTGGTACTGAGCATCTCTCTACTTTCAGACTGTGTCATATCTTGCACACAAAATCCAGATAACACTGGTGAAATCAGATCGACACATTGTCCAAATTTGCCCTTTCTCGTGTAGCACGCAGCAGGAGAAAATCCGCCTCAGAGCGTGCAGAAGGCAGCACCCATGACTCATCGTGACTTCAATAGACTAATACCTGCTCGGCATTCTTCCACAGGCGCAATCACACATCACCCAGACTCTCGTGTTCGTGAACCGGCATGCTAAGGATCAGCCGATCTGACTGCAGCTTCCCTGGGTTATGTCGGCAAAAGTTCAGGCCTTGAGGTGCGTGCCTGAATCATCGCTCCAGGCCTGATAAACTTGAAACTAAAATATCTGAGAGTTTGCTATGAGTAAGCTGGCGTTGGCATTCCCTGTTCTCAGAGGATGAATGCGATCTTATGATCATAAAATGTGTTATAAATCCATGTAGTCAGACCAACATACAGACTTTAAAAAGCCCTGCTTGAAGGAGAAAAGCATCTTTGACTTTGACATTTTGAAGGCCTTTTGCATTACTGCAGAGTCAGATAAATAAAATTCATAGTGTCGGGGTCAGCATTGCGAGTATGAAGGCACAATAAGCCGTCAGTTAGTACAGCTTAGCAAAAAAAAAAAAAAAAAAAGTCAATCTCCATCAGTTTTCCACGTAAAAGACACGTGACTTTTACACACTGGGTCAGAGTTCAAGTGTCCTAAAAAGCCTGTCTTCTAGTTGACTTGTAGAGAGGCAAACACAAATCTCCCAACTGCCTCGAGACATTCTCCGGAGTCGGGAGCGGCAGGACTCGGCAGATATTTACGTTTTCTCCCCCATCGGTCCATCCCTTCCTCCCTCTTTTGTCTCTAGATGGGTGTTAAAGTCGCCAGGGGCCGGGGCACCAAGGAGTGTCTGGGTACAGCAGACAATGGACAGACCTAAATCTGAGAGAGAGGGGGGAAATGAGTGTGACAATGCCTGGAAGCTGCCAACTGGGGATTTCAAAATAAGGCCGTGGATACAATCAGTCACACACGCACGCACACAGACAGACAGAGGACAAAGCCAGGAAACTTGTAGTAAAACATGCACCACAAGTGCTTACATAAAGCTTACTACACATGTATGAAAACTATATTTGAAAGCAGACTGCCAAAGCAGCTGTGGGATTACGATGAATAGATTTAAAAAAATAAATGAAAAAAATAAAGAATAAAATAAACTACTGCAGGCTTTACTGATTTTCTATTCCCCTCCATTAGCCGCCAGTGGCTCACAGCGAGCTTATCTCATTACCTCCCACCATCTAGGCACACTGCCATCAGCACCTGCTAACAAAGTAGATAAATAAAGAGAATTACCTCAATTCAATACACAACAATATAATTACTGGCCAAAGAGCCAAGGGAGGGGGGAAAGAAGGGAAGGAATCCCCTTAATGTGAGGAAGCGTGTTCTCCAGCCTTTTGTTTTGCTTTGCTTGGATGTGCTATGGTCCTTGAACTGTAAATAATCACAGTGAAGGTGACCTTTTGATTTTTTACTGACTATTTTAGAGATCAAACAATTACGCCGTTGTGTCCTGTGCTCAACATTACATAAGGAAACAAACTAAACTACCAACGCCGTTGTCAATCACTTCCAGGGCCAAGTGTAAAGTATGGTAGAGGGGGATTGGAGTTGGTTTTGGCCAAGCCTTTCCAGTGAAAGGAACTCTTAATGCTTCGACATACCAAGAGATTTTTGGATAATTTCGTGCTCCCAACTTTGTGGGAACCGTTTGGGGATGACCCCTAACATGACTGCGCACCAGTATACAAAACGAGATGTGGATGAGTGAGGTTGGTGTGGAAGGACTTGACTGGCCTGCACAGAGTTCTGACCTTAACCTGATAAAACACTTCTGGGATAAAATGGATGCGAGCCAGGCCTCATCCAACATCAGGATCTGACCTCACAAATGAGATTCTGGAAGAATGATCAAAGATTCCCATAAATGCACTCTTATGCTTTGCAGAAAGTTTTCCCAGAAGAGTTGAAGCTGTTAATATGATGTGCTGACATAATAATCCCTCATGTACGTGTGTGAGAAGGCAGACAAGCGAATGTTTTTGACAACATACGGTCACACGTTGACACAGAAAATTTACCTGGTGGGATCTTCTTCTATAGTAAACGGGCCTTTCACGTTAACAGTGTTCCTGCTGTTGTCCACTGTGCCATAGCTGAGAGTGACCTGATGGGAGGGCGACATATATGAGGCTTGTTAGTTTGTCTGTGAGCAAAAGCCACCAAGGCAAAGTTTGTGAAACTGAGCAAAAGGGAGAGATCCTCAAATTCTGATGCAGATCTTAATCACGCTCTTTAAAACTGTGATTGGTCTTTGTGCAAGATGTCTCCTCATCTGCCCTTTTCGTTTCTTTGGCGTCACAATGAGTCTTTGTGTGGACGTGTGTACCTGGTTGTGTATGTCTGACACCAGTCCCAGATTCTCCAGGTGGGAGTGAAACAGCCCTGAGCGGATGAGGCTCACGCCGAGCAGCGCCTCCACGATGTAACCAACCGTGCAGTCATCAGGGAGGCGGATGTGCTCAGCTGTGGTCATGAAAGTGCCATCGCTAGAACAGAGAAGGAAAGAATCGGTAGATGAGACCTGAGGCTGAAACGGTGCCAAGAAAATAAATTAATTAATTAAAAAAACAAAAAAAAAAAACAAATTCATCTTAAGTGAGGACTTACCTCGCCCAAGGTTTCATCTTCAGGGAGAGGCCACGGCTCAGACAGAAACCTGCTCCTCCGGTGGCAAACCAGAAACGCACTTGCTTCTACACACACACACACAGCATGAATATAAATGGACTGTCCACTTCCTCTCTTATTAATTTATTCATTTTCCACTTTGTTTGGTTGTGCAGCATCCACAAATCTCTTTTGCAAATTTCTGAATGTCGATAAACAATCTTAGGACCATTGTGTGATAATTGTTTGAGCTTCATGTTTTTATTCTAGAGTAGCTTTGCGTGTCCCAGTGTCTGAAACAAGCTGTTGTCGCTGCCTTCCAACTAACTTTAAACCAGCTTTATTCTTATTGGTTGCCCCTCTCAAACAGCTAGTGGAAGGGGCTGCTGTACGGTGGCCCTGATCAGTCAAACACTTACAACAGCAGCAAATAGGAAAGATAAACGCTAACAAACCCCCACAGAACACAACTGAAGTGTTTTTGGGGAGACGATAACATGAGAACAGCTGGGGAAGTGACAAGCTAACAGTATCCGGCTAATTTACAAACATATTGACACGATTATATGAATCATGCAATTAAAAAAAATAAATAACCCCACACACAGTATCTTTTTCTCCCTGAAAACACTGATGAATCCTCCACCTTAAGCGTGTCTCAGTGTGACCCTTCCCATGTTTTGGTTTCTGTCACTACCGCAGCTGTTCCATCACGCTACTGCGAGATCGTTTTTTCTACTTCTTTTCATTCAGCTCCTGTTGTGTTTAGTGTGCTTTTGCAGCATTTTTTCTATTTGCTGGTGTTTTCTTATGTTACAGTCTGTTTGACCTCTCGGGGCCACCGTACTCCCGTCCGTCTGTGACGTCAAAGAGAGCCAGGAGTAGAAAGAAAGAAAACATGAGAGAGAAGGAGGAACAAAAAGGTGCAAGCCTGCATAGTTACAAACCTAAAACATTCAATATTTCAATTTTAAGGTAAAACTGTTCTACGAAATCATGCCAAATTACCATTTCGTCAGTGCCGGGCCTCTCCGTGGCCTCTATCGGTCGCTCGAGGCTGGGCCGCCCAATGTAAACGTCCTGTGTGTGGCTGTACTGAGACAAGAGTTTCAGCAGGGAGCCTGTGTTCAGGTAGTTATCATCATCAACGTGACAGAACCACCTGCGAGCGACATAACAATGCTGTGGGTTAGTAAACTGTGTATGTGGGTGTGTGGTGCAGTGAGGTGTGGGTTGCGCCTTACTTCTTCCCAGAGCTGATAAAAGCGTCATACTCCAGAGACATTTTACAGGACAGCGCCTGACGATTGTGTGCCTGCGAGCAGTTTGTGTTGATCAGGTGAGCTCCTGATGATCAATAAGAAGCAGAAATCAATGATCGAGGCAGCCTCGACTTAAGCAGTGGAGCTGTTTAAGTATTGGATTTCATTATATCCTGACTGCTTCAAAACACCCTTATAAAAAAAACACCCCAGTTACACATTTCTGCACTGTGCAATACAATGAGAAGAATAACTGATTGAAAGATGAACAATTCCATGAGTAAGAGGAGGAAAGGCCTGTTGATTAAACTGAAGTGACTTCCTGCACTTTGTGGAAACATTACTGCCCAGTCAGCAGCCTGGTCCCTGATTTCCTGCCTCGCACACTGTAGATAAGACTGCAGCTACTCAGCAAAACTGCTGTGTGTGTTTGTGTGCGTGTGCGCATATATATGTGTGTGTGTGTGTGTCTCACCTATTCTTTTCCTCAGCTTCTCATCCTCCCCATCAGTGAACACGTATGTCTGTGGAACAAAGAAAAAAAAACAAAAAACAAAACAAAACACGACGGCGGTCATATTATTTCAGTAATCTTTCCCGAGTAGCACAAAGAAAAACAGCAACCACGCAGGTGATGACTGCATCAGCATTTCACAGATAACATTTGTGATTTCAGGTGAGACTCATCCCGTTTCCACGAAGCAGCAGTAAGCAGCGCCGACGCTGTGCTGACTGAGCGCCAGGCCAAAGGTAAGCCTCCCGTCTATCAGCAGCGCAGCAGCTGGCTTCGACCCCCTCGCTGCGCGTCCGTGTGAGCGTTAATGTGGTGAGTGACAGGGTTGAGGGTCACTGTGCACTCAGGAAGCTGTGCAGACCTCCTAACCCTCCACAGGAAGTAAAAAACAAAAAACCAAACATACAAGTCTCTAAATAGTCTGTTGTTTTGGCTTTTTTTTTGTTCCAGGACAATGTGTTTGAAATGAAACAATCACAGGTATAATGTGCTCACTGTTGGGAGTAATTCTGAACCCATTTATAGGTCCTGGGCGGGTAAAGAGTTGTCATATTTAGTCCCCACAAATGTTCAGGGGTAGAACTAATGATGTGATCCCCTGCTGAATTTGTAAGTGAGCAAACTTACAAATTCAGCAGGGGATCACATCATTAGTTCCCCCATTGTAGGATGATGCAGCCGGCCGTTTACACAAGGTATCTGATGATTTTACATCCTGTCAGCTCAGTCCAGCATAAAAGCAGTTAAAGTTTTAAAGAGCCAACTGATGGAAAAAACTGAAACCCCCCCAAAAAGAAAAACAAGGGCGTATAGAGCTAAACGCTAACACCTAGCTTGTTGTGCTAATATGTTAAAGCTAAATACAGACTGTGGGTCTGAAAAGGGACATTCTTTCTCATGGCCAGCAGGGGGCGACTCTATTGAATAGAAGTCCATGAAAATCACCCAATTTCTCAATATCAAATTTAGGGTAAACAAGTGTGGCAAGTGCAAGTATCTAATACATAAGGTCATCACTGTACTTGGCAGACAGTTTGTTTCAGGAATCTCCGATTGAGTGGATTTAATCTGTCTCTCCGTTTTCCTTTCATTGTTGTTCATAAAGAGAATTCTTCATGGTTCGTTTATGACTTTATTGTCTATGTTCAAGTGAGGCATTAGAAACTTAACATCTGAAGTCCCCAAAACTCTACATAGAACAAAAAGATTCTACTGCATTTCGATGGTAAGAGGACAAAGAGCTGCAGCGAAATCATTTAGCAGCTAAAGATCATTTAAATGCTGTTAGTGCTACAGCTTTCCTTGAAGTCTACAGAACTTCTCCACAAAAGTTGCCAAGAAGTTTCTTGCTCTGCCAGCGGACAGATGAATACTTGATGCGAGAGGATGCTGCGGTCCAGACCTGGCAGCAGGGCAGATGTCCAAAGTCTGCTACAACCTCCAGCCACAAACTGAATGCAAAGGACTTCCTAGGACACTAAATAGCAAAACCCATCATAGCACTGCGTTGTGTACCCTCCAAAAATCTATCATGTACTGCACATTTTTTTTCATTTGACAAAATAAATTCAAGTCTTTGCATCTTATAGGCTCTTTGTTTCCAGGCTCTTTCCTTGTTCTTGAGTCAGTTTATTCCCTCCTGACATGCAGCATGAATATATCAACAAATCTTTGCTTTAAGTACTACGTGATCAAGAGAGTAAATGTGACTGACCCCCCAAAAAAACCCCCAAAAACACAACACTCCAGCCAGCTGTGAGATTCTGTCAGTCTTTTTTTCCACTCTGAGCCTCTTAAGCCCCCAGAGTCAGCTTCTGCATCAGAACGCCTGCGTAAGAGTGTGTTCTATGACAAACCAGTGCACGCCTGAGCCAGTCTAAGAAGGCAGCAGCGCGGGGGGAGGAGGAGAAAATGTGGACCTTTTTTGCTTTTTGGGAGGTGGGGGTAGGTTGCCAGGAGTTGGGCTGGCAACCCAAGGGAGAAAAAAAAAAAAAAAAGCAGCAAAAGCCAGTCAGTGTGTGTGGTGGAGTGCGCGCGTGTTTATCCTCGTGATCAGACACGTTTGTAACTTCCCATGAGAAATCCTTCGAGTTCCCAGGGTATGTGTGCGTTTGTGAAGGTCTCCGACTGTGCGCGTTTCCATTACTCAGCAATGTTACAGTACAGAGGTGTGTCTGGGAAACAGGTAGGGTTACAAACACCTGACTGTGAGAGCTAATGCACGATTATGCCCCATACGCACACGCCGATTTCCACATAAACTGTATTTACATGTCAACAGTCTGGGTGTAGCACTGAACTCGAATGAGCTTCATCCCCTCAAACACTGAGGTTTAAATGGAAATCAGAATGACCGCCGCACGATCCGCAGTCACGTCTGCCTTTGATTACGAGCTTTGAAGCTGCTGGGTGCACTCAACCGCTGGCCCATGTGTTTTATAGCAAGGGATTCATCCTTGACTCACTCACCACCGCACCTCAGACCAAAAAGCTGTCTGCTCGTCCTGTTTGATCTTAAATATTTATCTGTGAGGCAGTGAAACTCCTCCTGTACCAGCCTCTCCCTAAAACTCCAGCACTTCTAAATCCTCATCACAGGACTAACGTTTAGAAAGGAAACTGTAGTGATCGGCCAATTCATTAATGACTCATTTGGGAGAAAGTTGAAAAATATTTTGTAGTCTTTTTCTTTTCTTTTTTTTTTTTAAATAGACACAATTACAAAAATCTGAAGACTTATTTTTTTCAGAACATGAAAATGATTAGTTGATGATTAGTCCTGTGCACACAGTCTGAGTGAAAACATTTATAGCACAAGAGACAAAAACCATCTTGTTTGGGTAGCTTGAGGTTAAAATTCAGCTGCAAGCACAGTTTCATGTTGAATCCTGATGATAATTTGAAATAATTCATCTCAAAAGACTTTAAAAAAAAAAAAATCTGCAAAGTAAGTTGTCTTCCTCCCCTTAAGCCCCGACCATCAAGGCAGAATGTGGAGGTTTCTTCCTGTTAAAAATGAGAGGTTTTCCTTCCCAAGGTCGCCAAAGTACTTGCTTATAGGGGATCGTCTCACTGTTGGTGTTTGTTCTGTTTTCTCTCTATTACGTACTGTAAGATAGTTACCTCACAAAGTACAAAGTAAGGCGAGGCAGCTGTTGTTGTGATTTGATGCTATATAAATAAAATCGATAAGATTAAATGCGCAGCTCTTTCATGTTAAGGTTATCGCAGAGACAAAGAAAAAAATGATCTGAATTGGCTCATGTCATTAGGCCTGCCTGTAGCTGTATCGTGTCAACACATCAGCAGCAGTGTGATCAGCCCGTTTTCCCTCTGATCTCCATCTCATACATTACAGAAGGACCCATCTCCGTTTTACAGCTCCCTGCCTGGAGCATCAAAGAGCCGTGAGCGCGGTTCAGGGCAGGACTGATAATCTGGGTTACAGGGGCATTTTCCTAGTGGGCCGAATATAAAGGATTCATGTAAAACGAATGGCTACTTTGACCATGAGCAACTACTAATAACTAAAACTTGGCTTTTAATTGTCACGTGCTGTGTGGCCGTCTAGACCCACATTTCCAGGGCCATGTTATTTTGTCCCAGTCCAGCCTGTCCCGGACTCACACAAAGACTTGGGGATGTAAATGGCAATCGGTGTATGAAACCTTTAGGACACGCCTTCCCCAATTGTGCCTTTAGTGAGTTGACCTGAAACTAAAGGGTGCTAGAAACACAAGTATACAGACTACCGAAGGGCTGAAACCGAAGTGCTTAAAACCAAATCCTGTCGTCATGATGTGAAGAGAAGCTGGCCCGTTACTGAGTAACAGGTGGGCCATCAAACTTACCTGTGGCATGTTCCTGGATATCCAGGTGTCCAAAAGAAGCTCCAGTCTCTGCCGGTGATACCTGCCGGTGGTTTTTACCGCTATGAACAGATCAGCCGGGGAGAGACGCTCCACCGGACCGGTTGGATCGCTGCTCCGCGGGGGGCCGCTCACCGCTCTTCTCTCCCGGGTCAGTTTGCTGAAATATGCTGAGAAAACTTTTCCGCTCGTACCCGCGGCTGGAAGCTCCTCTGGGACTCTGCAGTTTGGGTGTCCGCCAGTCACTACCAGCATCCCGGTCACCAGCAGACAGGTGACCGCGGCGGCAGCAGCGCGAGGTCCCGCGGAGCCGAGGAGGCCTTTTGATACCCACACAGGTTTCCACATCGTGGACGCTTTTACAGTGAGAAAGTTTCTGAGAGCGCTTGTCTCCGGATTACAGCATCTCCACTGTAGTACCCAAATCACAGCCGTCCCGCGTGTCTCCTTCAGTGGATGACCTCCCACTGAGTGGCTTGCAGCTGTGTTTAACACAGAAGTTATCCACCAGTGGGCGGGACTGTTTTAGGTCCGGTTTGCATCCAGTGGCAGATTTGAGCGTTTAGTGTGGGCGGAGATCCAGCAAAGAAGCAGGGAAAGTCCGCTGCTGAATACACTTTAAAGGGACAGCTCACCCCAGCGTCCAATATACATAGTTTTCCATTGGCCTGTACGTATGTGTATACAGGGGTGAACTGTCTCTTTAAAAGACAAACTTTCTCAAGTTCCCTATAAATCTTTTGGGACTTTGTCTTGAATAAAGATGCAACCAGTGTGATCAGCTGCAGAAGAAAAACAACTCATGTAACCCCCCCCCAGTCATTTAGAGGAACAATATCCCTGCTCATTAAATTTATTTTTTAATTTTATTGGCCATTTGCTGTGTTCCATTTTAAATTTCATACTTGTCCTTTTACAGCCTATTTGGTATTTCTCCAATTTCTGAGCAGAGGGGCAGAGTATCACTTACTGTTCCTACACAAAGCAGTGTTTTTGTGTTGCTTATCTGCTTAGCCAATTTAATTTCAAACTTATATATAACTTCTTATTTCATAGTGTAATCTTCACATGCTTTATCAAAAGTACAGTCTGTTGATTCAGCCGCTAATTATTTTCACAGTATTTATGTCTTTAGGGAATCGCTAAGCTTAGCTTAGCTCATAGCTGACTCGCTAGCGACATGGCCTCCCCGAGAATCTTGGAGTCGTTTTTGACCAGGATATGTGCTTCAATGCGCATATTAAACAAATGTGTAGGACTGCTTTCTTCCATTTGTGCAATATCTCCAAAATGAGAAACATCCTTCTCAGAGTGATGCTGAAAAACTAGTTCATGCATTTATTACTTCTATGCTGGACTACTGTAATTTGTTATTATCAACATGACCTAAAAACTCCCTGAAAGAGTGCTGACAGGGACTAGAAAGACAGCATATCTCTCCTATATTGGTTTCTCTTCGTTGGGTTGCTGCCAAATCCAGAATCTAATATAAAATCCTACTCCTCACATACAAGGAATATCAGGCCGCATCTTATCTTGATTATAGTATTGTATCACTATTGTATCAGTCATTAGAGCTCTAGGTTCTCAGACTGCAGGCTTACTTATTGTTCCTAGAGTATTTAAAAGCAGAATGAGAGGCAGAGCCTTCGGCTTTGAGGACCCTCTTTTGCGGAACCAGCTTCCAATTTGGATTCGAGAGACAGACAGCGTCTCTACTTATGCTGCAATAGTTCTAGGCTGCTGGGGGATTCCCATGATACACTGAGTGTTACTTCTTCAGTGATCCTTTTTGCTCACTATTTAACTATTTGTTATAATTAATCTCTGGCTCGCTTCCACAGCATGTCTTTGTCCTGTCTTCTTCCATTCACCTCCAGTAGGTCACGGCAGATGCCAGCATATGACCCCCTATAATCAAGCGCTTTGGCAGCAGTGGAAAGGAAAAACTCCCTTTTAACAGGAAGAAAGCTTCACCAGAACCAGGCTCAGGGACAACTAGCAAAAGCAAAGCCATCTGTGCTTCTAGAACCAACCAGTCCCAATTAACAGGTTTCTCCCTGTTAAATGGGAGTTTTCCTTCTCACTGTCTCCAAGCATTTTCTTGTAGGGGGTCATCCGATTGTTGGGGCTTTCTCTGTATTATTGTAGGGTCTGCCGTGAGGCGATTGTTGTTGTTGATTGTTGTTTATTTAACATTTAATAATTATAATAATTTAATAATGAATTATTAGAAACAGAGCTCTTTGGAGTTTCCTTTGATTTTTTTTAGGATACATTTTCCAAATGAAATTCATAAGTCCTAATTTGGCGAAGAGTACTCTCTCAAAATATCCCATGAGTGTTAAAGCAAGGTTTGGAATCCAATGATCAAAAAGGACGGTGCCCGAATTACTTATTCACACATTCCTTGTGTTGCGTATGGATGATCCATAAAAGTTTATTCAGCCATTTCATTTTATTTTGCATCTGTCTCATCTGTTTCAGCGGTCTAGTTTTCATTACTCTGACCAATGTTAAATTAAAATCAGTACCTGAAAAAATGAGGTTCTCCAATGGGACACAATTAATGACCTCCCCTGTGATGCTTGGAAGGAAATATGGCAGGTGTTTCAAATGCAGCATAACACACATGATAAATCAGCACAGCCGTTTCAGTTGTTGGACATAAAAGTGGCAGTTCTCCTCTCTGGAGAGTGTATTGAATTCCTCTGTGTGGAAGCCTGGTGGGTCATTCTCCAAGAGGACAGATGTTGAAAGAGACCGTGACAGAGGAGCGTGTGTAGTGCTGCCAACTCTGTGCACTCTCACACACAGAACACAAGACGTGCCAAGCAGACAGGTTGCCAGATCCACCAACCATCTGAGGAATGTTTCCCCTCTAATAGTGTGCAGTTTGTTTGTCCTGGTCCCTCAAGCAAATTGGTGTAATGTTGCATTTTTCAAAACACAGAAGCCTATCTCAGACACTGATAAAAGACCACTGCATGCTGTCATCCTGTCTTTAGGCACTGTAGATAATAATTATATTCAGCTGGCCTCTCAGTTGTATGACATGAACTATTGATTTGATTGAATTTGTTCAGTTACAACGGAGATGGCCCAAAAAAGTTAGTAAAGGAAGATAACATTTAAGTTTTGAGTTTGGTGGTCACACTTCTGTTCACTTCTGTGGTCCAAGGAACTGATTAACTTATCTTTGAAGCTACTTTAAACCTTTACAGGAAACATTTAAAAATACATAGAAATGCATCCCTGTTCAGTCACAAGCAGAAGCAGAAGTGGTAATAATATCCAATATTGCTAAAAACTGATACTTTTCTTCAAAGATTTAACTTAATTTAAGTTCATTCACTGACAACTGAGCGTGTGTATTCTGTGATATGGTGTTGGATGGGGTGCCTTCCATAAAAGAGCCAAGTGGACAGCTGCAAAAGAAAAGCAAGTACATTTTTGAGTCAATATCCAGCAGCCTGTGGAAGGAAAACAGTCAAAGGAAAGTGTAGATCTACTAAAAAGCAAAATAAATTGACATAAAAACTTTGAATACTTAACAGTAAAAAAGGATTGTAACTACTAGTGGTACCTCCTCTTTCTTTTCTCATATATGATTCAGTCAAAACTAAACAAGTATTGATTTGCTAAATGAATTTTAGCAGTAACAGGAATGACAGTAAAAATAAACACTAATGTATGTAATTTTAATACAAAAAAACCTGCTTTAAGGTCGTAACACAAATAAAATCATATATTTCTCAGTTGAAACTGTCTATAAATTGGTTAAATTTCTAACTGGATCACTGTCTGCTGATATGCAAAGTTGTTGCAACATCCAACCCTATTGACTACTACTGTTCTGTTTATAATAAGGCATCTTTTAGAAATAAGTACGGCTCACTAGATGCACCTGGTGCATGCCTAAAAAGAGACTTCCCATCTCTTACATATGATGGTGCCACTATTTTTGTGCCACAGAGTTCTAGAATCCAACGCAAACAACACCGATCTCAAATTTTAGAACAGGCTTCAAATGTGTAATTCTTAACATTCGTCAGCTTACCACTGTTAGTTCTGATGTTATGACCTGATGTGTAGGAGCAGGTAGGTGCAACAAACTTCCTGATTTTACGAACAACACTGAAGTTTGAAATCCTCCAATATGTCACATGACCAGATCTTTCATGTGTGGCTGGTAGAAACCAATGGGCTTCTACAATCTCACAGTGAGTCATACAAAGTCCAATTTGGATGTTTATTTAAGTTAGAAAGGAAACAGAGCTAGAAGAGAATAAATATTAAGCTGACATATATGACATATGTGTGTATCTTGCTTCTATAGCTTGTTGTTGAAGTGCTTTAAAGCAAGTGATGGTAAGTCCATTTTAAGACAAGCACTAGTTCCATCTAGTGAGCCATACTTAAGTTATTTTTTTAAATGTGATAACACAAATGTTTATCAAACAGGTCAAAAATGCTCTTTCTCAGAAAGTTGCCTCTCTGTCACACACGATGCTAGTTTGTGACATGTCTCAGAATGATTTGCGTAGGTGCTATGACGTGTGATCAGTATCTTGCATCCTGTGGTTTAATACTATTATGATAAGCGTCATGTTAGCAGGAAATCCTTTAGCCGATTAAGTAGGAAAGTGACATTAAATTTGGGGAACCAAATGGAAATGTTTTGTGGGTGCCACCCCTCCCCACACACTGCTATCATTTTAGTTAATAATCACTTTTTATATTTTTCACCTTGGTAACTTTATGCACAAATCTGAAATAGGCCTCTGGGATCTGAATGAGGTAAATATTGTCACTACAGGGTACGTGTTAGACTTTATCAGCACAGTTACAGTCACATGACCACCGTGCTGAACGAATTGCGCCTGCAGTGGAAAACCAGACTCGATTCTAACTTTGAACAGAGGTTGTGTGAATGGTTGTGAATGTGCTTTTCCTTCTGATACATCAATATGTTGATATATTGCCTATGTCCATTCATAGCAGACCAAACTAATTAAGTAACAGATAAACGACTGAATGGAAATGTTCTGTGAATTAACAGACGTTTTCTTTTATAATTCAAGGACAATCTGGGCGATAAGCTGCCAGAACTGTGATTTTACTAATTTATGTATTACAGTTGAAGTCCAATTTTATCTGCGCTGACATGACTGCAGGAGTATTACTTTATCAAGTGGAAAAACTGCCGGCAGGACTTGAGATCAAAGTGGCCCGTGATGTAAAATGAGTTTGACATTCCTGCTCAAAGGACTTTCTGAATTTTGTTGTGGTCACTTTGGTTTGTCTGTGTTTTCTTTTGGGCTTGGTATCATTGCTTGTTAGCCACACTGTTTCAATTTTCTAAAAGTAACTTAAAGTGTGTTTGTCTGAGACTTGTGTGAAACAAAGTAAAAGTTTAGTATGCTCAACTTGTTGTATGCACTCAAGATACGAGTGCACCAGTGCGTCTGTTTTCAAGCATTTCTGCAACTTTGTGAAACCAGTGACCCCACATTCACACCCACTTCTCACT